TTTCCAGAAAAAATACCTACTTCCAGTGACACGGAGATAAACCACATTATCCTCAGTGGTAACAGGAGCATCTAGGAGTCCAGTCCAGGACTGTGTAACAGGATATTTCTTGTCATTTCTCCAAGTAGCTTGTGAAGTTTTAGGCATACTTTGAAAGTTGAGGGAGGCTGCTCAGTTAAGACCATTCACTGCTCTTTTCGGAAGTTAAGAAAATTGTTTCTTTTGCTATTCCTCTCAAGCTACAAGCTCATGAGCCTGAAACACTGTTTATCTGGAGGGGAACCACTCAATCCTGAAGTGATGGCGAAATGGAAAACCCAGACAGGGCTGGATATCCACGAAGGTTATGGCCAGACTGAAACGGTACTTTTGCATTGATTCTTGCAGTATGCCCTTTCAAAGGTAACAATGCCAGAGGCACAATGTGCTTGATAAATCAGTGGAAGAGGTAAGAATAATTTAAATGAACTTCTTTAAAAAGAGGCTATATATATTTATGATTATATAGTTTCAAAATCAACTAGCTGCATATTTTAATGTCTGTAGGAAATACTATGACTATAGAGTTCAGCCCCCTGCAAAAACCATGTCAGAGATTACCTCAGATCAAATAACTTGTAGTCGATCCCTTCATCGTCTTTACTTAAACGGCAAAACTGAGGAAAAAAAAAAATTGCTGTGGGTATCAGTTTGGCTTGTCCAAGGTTTTAATGAAAAATATTAAATCGGTTCACGTCCCAGACTTCTCTGTAAGTGAATGTTAACAGAATGGTAAGAGTCAGATTTCAGGCATTCTCTCCTCTTGCCTTTGATATGGTCCTAAATTAATTGTCCCATTATTGAAATAAGATCTGTAATAATTTCACATCTGCAACGCTTGCAAATTCAAGTGTTTGCAGAAGAACCCACTGGCTCAGACTGAGCACAAGCAACCTCATTCCCCAGGACTGACCTAAAATTCCTCTTAGCTCCTCTCTGATGTGCTGGAGAACCACAGTCCTGATTCAGTCCTTCTCGAGACAAAGTCATGAAGAGGTGTCTTGCCTAATGCAGGCCGACAACAAAGTCAACAAGATGTTGCACAAACTAAAAAAAAAAAAAAAATATCTTTTATGCAGGTAGCAATATGTGCCACTCTGAAAGGAATGAAAATTAAACCTGGCTCTTTGGGAAAACCTGTTCCCCCTTATGATGTGCAGGTATGTTGATATGTTACATCTGAGCTCAGCTGCAGTTGTGAGTACATGTGTCCCAGTCTGTCCTTCACTGTGCTGTAACACAGATATTTCACTGAGCTAATCAAAGCAATGGTGATATGTCCTTACTGCAGATCATAGATGACCGTGGGGCTATTCTGCCTGTAGGAGAAGAAGGCAACATTGGTATTCGAATTCGACCTACGCGACCATTCTGCCTGTTCTCCGAATACGTGGTAAGTTTCAGTTGGCCTCTCTGTGCATGTTGAGAAGCTTAATATCAGACTGATGGATAGGGTGTAACTTGTTCCAGACCTGTACCTGGCAGTTGCATGGGCTTTATGTTCAAGACATCATTCTTTCCATTCAAATCCCATTCTTAGTGCTGGATTAATGAAGGAAGCCCGTAAAGGCTGCTGTAGTATGCCAGGAGCTCAGGGAGGCCTTCCAAAGAGCACTTTCCAAAGTATTCCCTCATACCACTGTCAGAGGGACCCACAAATTGATCTTTTAAATCTTTAGAAATTACACATTGCAGCATGCATTTATTGCTGGTGTCAGAGAAATCCTCTGTACAGTTGCCTGTCACGTAGACCACATGCACAAGATCAACAGGACAAAACCAAGCTACAGGACAAAACCCTCAAGCGTAGGTGATCATACGGCTTTTTTATATTATGTAGTGACATACGTGATATGACATCACTATTCGAATGCGAGTGTTCTTCCTGCTGAAAACAGAACAGGCTTAAAAAAAATCTGTCAGAGAAGGGCCATTTTGGTTCAGGCCAAAGGTCCATCTAAGCTGGTATTCCATCTGTGGTGCTGCTGAGTTGTAGTACGTACTTAAGAAAATACTAGAATCAGGCAAATATAAAGATATTATCCACTGCATTTGAACCATCATGTTGAAAAAGCTTTGGGAAACTTATCTTGTGTTTAATCCTTTTCTAAATCCCCATAATATTTTGATACTTGTGGCATCCCCAAACAACAACTGTCACAAAGTAATTGCTCACTATGTGATTAAAAGAGTTCTTTTGGTTCAGGACTATTACTTCAATTTTTCATTGTGTTTTCTGGTGTCAAGTTGTTTTCCTGTGCAATCTAGACCCAATAGATCAATGTAGTAATGACGTTTTTCCTGTAGGTCACCTCATTTGTGTTTTGGTCTTGAAGGTTAGAGGTCAGAAGTTTCCTTTGACAGGAGGTTATTGTGGTGCCCCCCTGCAATGATAGATCATTTCTCTGAAAAGAGTGGGTTATACATTTTGGTAGTCTGCTGTGATGAATGAGCACTTTGATAGAGCACACCCTTTCTTCCTTAGAACACGAAACCATATATAAACAAATGCTCTTTTCCACCTCTCATATATTTCCAGCACAAAACTGCTAATTAATGCAGTTCTGTTTTGGTTGTTTTTGGTTTTTTTTTTTTTAATTGAAGGCATAAAATAGTATAGAACATACATATTTTGAGAACAACCTAAAAAATTGTCTTGATCATTTTTAGCACCACTGCAAATAAATGCATTACATTTCACTGACAATTAGATACATTTTTTGAAATGTTTGATTGTTGTCAGGATAATCCAGAGAAAACTGCTGCCTCTGTGTGTGGAGATTTTTATGTCACTGGGGACAGAGGGGTTATGGATGAAGAAGGATATGTCTCGTTTGTTGGAAGAACTGACGATATAATTAATTCTTCTGGGTAAGTCAGTTGCTTTTAGCTTTGCTCATTTGCCTGTTAAAATTCAGTCTGGAAAAACCAACTGAGTGGCTGGCTTGCTCCAACTCTCAGCTGCATTTTGTCCCAGGTATCGTATTGGCCCATTTGAAGTCGAAAGTGCATTAATACAACACCCTGCAGTCTCGGAGTCAGCAGTTGTCAGCAGTCCAGATCCAGTTCGAGGGGAGGTAAAAAGAAAAAAAAAAACATATTGAAAGAAATGCACTTTATTCTAAGCATCAAGTTCCCTATATGTACTAGGCTTCCTTGGAATTAAGTGTGTTGCAGATATTTGAAATTAAAATGGGTTAAAAAAATTTAAGACCATACCTTGACAGATCTTGGAATTTCAGAATTAGTTCCCTATTTGCAGGGTTTGAAGTGGACAAGTCTGGCTCTTCGGACTTATTACGGCATTCTTTTCTCTAAGAAATAGAATTCAGACTATTTTTATTCTTGTTACTAAGCACATGGTGGCAATGATATCCAGAGTGTTTAATTTTCTTTTTATATTTTTGAACTTTGCAACATTTGTTTGAGCTCTGGGGTGAGATTTTGAACTGTCCTTTTTTCTTTTCTACAACTTTTTGGAAGTTTAGTAGTGTATAAAGTTAAGAAGAAAAAAAAGTGGAAAAATACAAGAAATGCTGCAGAATATGCCCTTCTTGACATTGCATTTTGTGATAAACAGCCAATGAAAAGGGAAATTAAAGGAAAACCATTTCTGAAATTTGATACTCAGTTTTGGCAACAAATGTTTCCCTTTATTCCCATGTCTGAAAGTTAATGGAGTCCCTTAAATTTTGTGGCACAGGTAGTCAAAGCCTTCGTTGTTTTAGCTCCTGCTTTTGTATCACATGATCCAGAAAAATTAGCTCATGAGCTTCAGCAACATGTGAAGAAGGTGACTGCACCTTACAAGTACCCGAGGAAGGTAAGGACACTACAAAAAGACAGGTCTTCTAGTTGTATCAAAAATGGAACGGGTTTTGTCCTGCTTCAGGTTCTTTTCAACTGCATTCTAACAAACACTCCAACCAGAGTTAATAAAATAAAATTAAAATAAATTGCAGAGTCTGTTACAGCTGTAGCCTTGGGTTCACTGTATGTGCTAGAAAGGACCCAAAGGGAGGAGATGGTGGTGTGGCTTATATTTATCAGGGTCCAGTGTTCCTTTCATGAAATACCAGGGTTTTCACAGGAACACAAATGGGAAAGCATTCAGCTCTTAACAATTCCTCCCTTGAGCTCTGTTCAGACTCTCAGCCAAAGCAAAGGGAAAATTCCTGCTGGCATCAGGGGAGTTGGAATCCGTCCCTTAAAACCAGGAAAGACACCAGTAACTCCCCATCTTGACAGCTGAAGCCCTCCAGCTTCAGAACTCTGGTACTTGTCCCTGCAAGTACTGCCTGTGCAGTTTATTAAAATGGGTAGTAAGGAATTTCACTGTCCCAGCCCCAAGCTGTGCAGCTTCCCATCTTTTTATTTTTACCCCAGGTATAATAGAAGTGTGTCTTTCCTTGCACCTGGAAGATTAATCAAAATGTATTTGGCTAATAGTGAGCATTTTTGCCTTTCAGGTAGAGTTTGTTCAGGATCTGCCAAAGACAGCTACTGGGAAAATCCAGAGAAAGGTTCTAAGGAACAAAGAGTGGGGAAAAGCATAACGTGACCTGGAAACTCAGAAGAGAAAATGTCCATTTCCATATCAGCCATAGCACATCACACTTGGCATGTGGTCATGACCCAGAGCTCTAGGAGAACATATGGAAATACAAGCTATGGAAAAAAAAAAAAAGGGAGATTACAGTTATATGGGTTGAGGATGTGTGGTATTAGAAGCACTGTTACCATTAGCATACAAATTTTGAGAAGGGAGAAGATGCAATTAATTAAGAATGAGGTATGGAGGTATGGAAGAGAGGAGGCATTAGATCCAGGAGCTTATAAAGGTTTAATTTTTTTACTGGAATTAGTGTAAACAGCTTCCTCTTAAAAAAAAAAAAAAAAAAAAAAAAGGTAACTACAACATTTTTTATAATTGCAAATAAATGTGAAATTAATAAAAAAAAAAAAAAAAAAAAAAAAAGTGTAACTACAACATTTTTTATAATTGCAAATAAATGTGAAATTAATAAAACTAATCTTTGTCCTGTAGTGGGTATCAGCAATGAAGTGATAGTCTCTTCAAAAACTATCACTGTTCCTGAGTGGAAGAAGAAAGACAAATTCTTTAACTACTTCTCTTCAGCTTGATGAATTTGTGATCTACTTAAATGGTTAAAGTGAGGAAAAAGAGAAGATACAAAGTGCTTTAGGTTAAGGTGCAAATTATGCACAATTAACAATGCTGTAAATGAATTACAAGGAAAAGGTTACTCCACAGAAAGAATTGTGCTGCATGGTCTGTTTTGTGCTATGTTCTGTTCTCATTACTTCAAAAGAGCAAATGATAAAGAAGAAGGGGTTTCACTCCAAATCCTTTTTGATGGAGCGTCCAGGTTTTGTGTCTCCAGATAAAGACTAATCCTTACAGTGCCATGTTTGGGAAACACATGTCCTGAAAGCCGAATGAACCGAATGAAGAGGATCTGCCCCAGCCAGTTCTCAGTCTCTACTGTCCGCAGCAAACAGGTCAGGAAAAAGTTTGTCCAAATTCCTAGTGTTGCTGATCATTGAGAAGAAGCAGATGGTACTAAATCAAGAAAAATAATTTCTGGTTCTTGCAGCAGTACAGAGGACTTTGCCATTACTGGGTTTTTTCCTCAATTTTCTTACTTTGTTTTTACTTCTAAGTTTACAGGTGAAAAAGTGGTAAAAACTGATGAAAGCTTTCACAAAAAAATCCTGGATTTAAAATGTTTTTCAACTTATCAGTCTTGAATACCATTTCCAATCTTGAATACTGTTCCTGAATGTTCTTTCTCTCCTCTTTTCTTTACAGGCCATTCTGTAGATTTTGTCATTGCAGTGCTCTGAATTCTGAAGATTATAGCTAAATCGTAGAATTACAGCAGACTAAGAAATAAGAAATACCTTACTATGTTATTAAAAAGAGTAATCAAAATTATTAGGTTTTTCTGTTAAAAGAATGAAAGTGAATCCATAGGTTTTAGCATTAACAGTGGAGGTCACAACCTCAAAGATTACATATTTAGGGAATATTTAAAAGACCATTTTTCACCAATAAAATCTTTTTAGATTCTTTTTTTCCACCAGGTCCTGTTAATAGAGTTTTGATTTAAAATGTAAGTACCATCTAAATAAGTTTCTGCTCTGTAATTCTGATTCTGAAGTGGGTGGCAGTTAGAGACATAGTAACAATTTTATATCCATGTCCTGTGATTCTTTCTCAGAAGCAAATGACATCCTGTAGGATTATTTGCAGCTGGTCAGTATTTTTCTGCCATAGTCTGCATAGAGCATGGAGAACTACTGTTCATTCTGACAAAGTATCTGGTATCTGTTCTGGGGGGAATATCTGCATCCAGATTTTTAATGCTGTCAGATATCACTGAAAAAATTTAAGTTATGCAAGTTCTAGGTATTTGAGTTCATTCACCTGATAGATTAAATATTACTGTAAAAGTTCCTGCTAAGGAATAAGGAAATAATTCCACTGTTAAATATGTTATTTTTTCTTGGGGATTAAAATACGACCAAAACTGAGATCCATGCATTAGAGATGTAAAGATAAGTGGTTACAGTTGAAGACATGGGATGAGGTAAATGAATAGAAAATGAACTTAAAAACCCAGGACAAAGGGCAAGACTTTGCAGCTTTGCTCAGGCTACAGAAATTCCACATGGAAAAGAATTGAATCAAGAGTTTACCTATAATTTTGTTCCTAGGTTGTGAATGGATTAATCCTTTGTAAGAACAGAAAAGAAAATTAACCTGTATTTCAACAGTCACTCACCTAACCTTGTATTGAGTTTAGTAACCTGTGTTTAGTGGTTGAAGAAGGAAAATCGATAGGTGATAGGCCTCCAGGACTCCACTGGCTCCTGCTCTGACTGCGGGCTCTTCCTGACACGAACCAGGTTTTTGGTTTTTTCCATGTTTGATAATCTTTAGGTGCACTTATGAGAAGCCTCTAAATAGCATTAAAATTTTCAGTTGAGCACAGTTCTGAAGCAGTCTTCTAGACTGCTGAAAGTAATAATAACAACAGTAATATAAAAACAGAGAAATTAAAAATGTGTAGCAATGAAAAGGAAGAAACTAATTGGACTTGAGAGCTTTTAGGGTCATTATGGTGAATATAGATGGAAGAGGACATTTACAGTGAGCAAATGTTGAAATATCTAAATAAAATTTGAGGACCTACATAAGGGATTACAGATGTGAACGTTCTTGAGATACATGTGGCAAATGGTTGTATCAGTCAGAATGGATATTCAGACTCCACGTGAAGGAAAAGGAACAGAGAATCAGCTACTGGATGCTTTGGTGTAAGAACTAGTAACCTTTTTATAATGCAAATAAAAGCATTTGATGTTGTGTTTGACTAAGGAGAGCTGTGAGCAATTAGCAGCCCCAAAGAACACATCAAGAATCTATTAGGACCAGCTGAGCTGCAGACAAGATGCCAGATCAGTACAGTACATTAAGTCCTTTAAAAGCTGGTGGTAAAAAAATCTAAGCAAGCAGAATGGGGAACTTCACATTTAATTGAACTGTTACAAACACCAGTTTGGCTGTGACTAGCCTAAGGGTCTTCAATTAATAAGTCATCAATTCGTAACTGAATTGTCTTTGGATAAGCTCAAGATTATTTTCTTTTTGTTGTTGTTGTTGCAGGATTCATAGCAACAATTCTGCAACTTTCCTTATATAGTCTACAGCATCTACGTACATCATCTTCTGCCATGAAGTCGTTGTTTAAATTACAGACCCTAAAATCCTTGTGGACTCTGAAGCCTCCTAATAGGATTTTCCGTGGACACCCCAGGCTCTTTGCCTCTGATGTGTATTCACAGTACGAGTCAGTCAGACGCGGCGAACAGCAAATACCAAAGTACTTCAACTTTGCAAGTGATGTACTGGACAAATGGTCTGAGCTTGAAAAGGTAGATGATCTTCCATTGTGCAGATGAGATACTTTATTTGAAATTTCATTTGAAATAAGTTGGGTTTTTTCTTTATAAAAAAAAAATCATTTCCCAAAAGCAATTTGCACTAGGAGTCTATACTAAATTTCATTCTTTCTTGCTTTATTTTAAAAGCGTTTCTTGCCCTTGGGCCTCCCTGTGTAGGTAGAAAAAGCAATGGTATATCTGTTTTACTTTGATTTAACCTCAGAATGGCTGTGCTTATTCCTTCTGCAAATATTAGATAATCACATCATAAAAATACAGGTAACACAACAATAACATTGCGTGCTAGGGAAAATTCTCTCACAAATGTTTAACTGCCTTGCTCCAGAGTGGATTCTACATTTGTCTGGATGTCGTGTAGTTAGAGACCACTTAACTCCCCTTTTTCCTGAGCAATCAGACTAGAAAGAGTCCTCAGATACTGTGTTGTGCTGTTTTAATTTGTCCTCTGCCTGTGCTGCTCCTGTTTAATAGTATTCCATCCAGAATATGAGGAGATATTTTGAAGTATTTCGTGTTATCTGTTATTTTATAGGAGCATTAATGCTCAGCGTAAGTCTTAAACTGAAATAGGACCCAGACTAGGACTTGAGTCTGGAGACAATTGGGCTGGTAAACATTTCAGATTCAGAAAAGGAGAATTTATTGGGAATATCTGAGCTTGATCCATAGCAAATCTCAGTCCATTAAGGACAAGGGAAAAGTAATAGCGTATATGAATACTCACATCTTCCATAATTTACAGATACTTGTCCATGATAATTTCATGGGGTCTTTCAGAAGGAAATATTTTGGTTTTGAATCTCTGTGTTTTGTAGGCTGGAAAGAGACCATCAAACCCTGCCTTTTGGTGGGTAAGTGGAAAAGGAGAAGAAGTGAAGTGGAGCTTTGAGGAGCTGGGGTTCCTGTCTCGGAAAGTGGCCAATGTGCTGACTAAAGTATGTGGACTGCAGAAAGGGGACAGAATTGTTGTGATTCTGCCACGAATCCCAGAATGGTGGCTGGTGAACGTGGCTTGCATGCGAGCAGGTCAGTGAGCATATCTGAGCCTGGTAAAACTGGTTAATCCAAATAAATCAAGAAAATCAAGAATTTATACGGTTTATAAAGGAAAAGTAATGTAATAATCTAGTGGGTGGGCTTGCTACTAATTACACAGGTGGTCCTGGAGAATTTGCACTCGGTACTGTAGGATAGGTGGCCTGTGCAGCAGGCATGGAGATGACAGAAGCCAAGGAAGAGCCATGGAAGTCACCAGACAGGTCCACATTTCATTCCTTACAGACAGCACAAGCACCTGTATTACTCCACTTGTTTGGCTTGGGAATGCCAGGGCAAATTTATCTCAGAGGTCAGTTTGGGAGTAGTTAATAGTTTAGGTTCTTAGAAAACAATCAGATGTAAAAAATGCCATCCCAAACTAACTTTATTGCTCTTCCAGGAATTGTCTTAATTCCAGGAATATCCCAATTATCAGCCAAAGACATATTATATCGACTCCAGGCATCAAAGGCCACAGGCATCGTTACCGATGACACACTGGCTCCTACTGTGGACTCAGTGGCATCTGAGTGTCAGTTTCTGAAAACCAAGCTAATCGTGTCCAAAGGCAGTAGGGAGGGATGGCTGAACTTCACTGACCTGTACAAGTGAGTATGAGTTAGGGACCATGCAGTCATGATGCAGACAGCAGACCTGTTCTTCACAAGTGCTCTTTTACAAGTATTCGTCAACTACAAATTCTCATCAAATGCCACCATTAAGGTGTCAGTCATGCCTGCTTGATTGCTGATCATATCAGAGTTGTTCACTAACAGTGGTCCTGTTTTGGGCATTTTCTTATTGTGTTCTTCTTAAGGGGAATTCCATCTTTGAGGAAGTGTAACTCCACATTATTTTAGTCTAATTTGGTGAAAAGCTTCTGTGAACTTTATTTGGGGTAGAAGTTCTGCGATACACAATATTTCATTACATTCTGAAGCCTGTGTAAAGTAACTATTGAAGTCACTCTATTGAATGAGAATCTCTCTCATTCTCTGTTTTAAAGAAACCAATCTGATGACCATTCCTGCGTCAAAACAAGGATTCAAGACTCAATGAGTATCTTCTTTACCAGTGGAACCACAGGTTCTCCAAAGATGACTGAACATTCCCAGGGTAGTCTTGGTTTCAGACCCCTTTTAAGTGAAAGGTATGAACAGTTGGTTGAACATGGGATAATTGAAGCTACCGCAGCCCTATCTTCCTACCTAGTGGAAAGTCACCACATTGAAATTCAGACTCCTCTCTTTCCCTTCCTCTGTCCTATGTTATGACTGACATCATACATGTATGATATACATACATGTATATTTATGTAAAGATATCGTTAGGTGCCCTTTTATCCTAGAGCTAGCTCATAAAACAAACTTATTCAGAGTGCCCAGTGCCTATGTATCTTGTCAGGAATCTTGGGCTTGTTGGGTTTTTTTGTTTTCTTTTTTTGTGGTTTGGTTGGCTTTTTTCAAGCAAAAAAATTTCATTATTCTTTTGTTAATTTTTTTCTGCTCTGTCAGGTACTGGTTGGATTTGACTCCCTCAGACGTGATATGGAGCACAGCTGACACCGGATGGATACTGGCTTCACTGGCATCTGTTTTTGATCCCTGGGTTTTTGGATCATGCATCTTTATCCATAAGCTACCACAGATTGAATCAGCAGCCATCCTAGATGTAAGGAAAAACTCAGAGATGTGTTAACCTGTAGAAAGGGCACCAAAAAAATTTCTTAACAGCATCCATAGATTTCATGAGGGTTGTGTCTATAGTTGTGTTCAAGACGCTGTATCTGTTGTGTAAAATGTACACAGAAGGGGCCAAACCTGTGGTTCATTCGTACATTTTGCTCATAGCTGGTGAGAACATGAATAAAAATCATCCAAAAGCAGCACTAATTGCTTGCCTTTTGTTGAAGTGACTATGGAAGTATTTTCAGCTGGTATGAATGCAGACTGAAACTGAAGTGTTTCTCTGCCTACACTGGCCAAGATGATAGTGAAAAACTCCCTATAATGTAGACAGAGACAAGCTTATTCTGGCCGTGCTCCAAGCTGTGCGAGCTGTCATGTAGACATCTTAGCATGGGATTTTGTCCAATCAAATATTCTGTGAATCTACGTATCCTACACCAACTGTACGAGGTTTTTTTACCCAACAGAGAGCATATGGTGCTTTTACGTAGAAAGGAGAGCTATATTTGCCTGCTATATGACCTGTTTACTGTACATCCACAAAGTATTTTCTTGTCTGAGTTTCATGCCTTATTGTTTAACTCACTAGACTCTCTGCAGATTCCCTATTGACGCGCTGGTTGGTGCTCCAACATTGTTCCGCATGCTGGTACAAAATGATCTCTCCAAGTACGTCAAAAAATTATTTACTAATGTTGAATTTACCCTAGATAAACTTTAGTGATCTCCCCCAGATCTAGCTGCTTGACCCAAAATAGGGTAGTAACTTAGCTTAAAATATCCTTCATGAAAAAACTGTTATACAAAATGTGTGAGTTCCATTGAGTCTTATGATCAAACATAGAGAAACTTATGTTTTTCCTTAGAAATTTGAGACTTTTACTACTGAACTTGTCAGCAAATCCCTGAGGGTATGAAACTGAGCACCTGTTAAATTCTTTAATAATTTTCAATTACCACGTTAATTGTCCCTGCTTTGGAGGGCTGTCATCCTAGAAAATCAGTGTCAGCATAACTGTGAGAGTGTGACTTGTGGCAGTTGTACACCATCCCCTGCCCCAGTTCTCACTGCCTGCCACCCTTCCTTCCTCCCCTCCTGCACTTTCTCACTTGGGCTGTTGCAGGGGTCAGCAATCAGGACCCTGGCTCAGCAAATTGCTCTGTGGTTACAGACGTGTCCTTAAATCCCAGCTGACTTCGGCAAAACATTTACTTTATTTTTCATCTGTGTTTGACTATTAGTATTTGTATATATAATGTTGAGCACAGACTGATATTCTTGCTGTATCAGGAGCCAAAGGATCAGGAATCCTCTGACTTCCCTGCTTCATGGGACTAACTCTGTCATTAAACAGTTCTCCAGCATTATTCGTAGTTGCGTGGTCCTTCTCTTGCCCGATGGATTTAAGTACTGATTCTTGTTTTTTAACTCCCTGTGAAGGTACAAATTCATGAACCTGAGGCACTGCATGAGTGGAGGGGAGCCACTCAACCCAGAAGTCATGGAGCAGTGGAAAAGCAAGACTGGACTGGACATCCATGAAGTATACGGCCAGACTGAAACGGTACATCTGTAGGGTCAATAGTCTATTAAATCTCTGCAATTCCTTTTTGCTTTCAGTGTTCTAAACACAGCTTGTTTCTTTCTTCACATTTCTGTGAATGTTTTGGTAATCTCTTCCCTTGATAACCTCTGAAAGAACACAGAACCTCCTCACAGAACCTGTGAGAAATATGGATTGCTGGGAGGAGATGTGCTCTAAGATTTCCATAAATATCCTTGAGGAAATTCCAAGTGACAGTGACAGACAAGAGGGGAGAGTTTGAATCTAAGGAAGAAGACTGGTTAGGGTTAGCAGAGGGTATGAATTCTTCACAGAAAACAGAACAGGATTATTTCAGGGAGTTTCTTGATTTTGCTTATCTGTACCACACAGCACTGACATATAGGACCATATGAATCTTAGTTCCTCACTTTGGAATTATTCTAGAAAATACATTTGGTGGATTGAATGTGAATGTAGCAGTTTTCTATCTATTGTAAAACTTCATTTTGATTTTTTACAGGGAATAATCTGTTCTGTTTTTAAAGGAATGAAGATTAAACCTGGATCAATGGGGAAAGCAGCTCCCCTTTTTGATGTTCAGGTTTGTTGACTGCTCTTTAGATTCTTTCATAGGGATTTTTTATTTGGTTTTGGTTGTTTGTTTTTTTTCCCCATTGGACTAAAATACGTGTTGTTTTTCATTCTAGATCGTGGACAAAAATGCTAATGTTCTGCCTCCAGGACAACAGGGGGAAATTGCTGTCAGAAGCAAACCTATAAGACCACTTGGTTTATTCTCTGAATATGTAGTAAGGACTTTATTTTATTCCTCATTACCACCAATCTCCCCAAAATCTCTCAAATTGCAAAGTGGTTCTAAAGGCTGAATGTCTTTCACCAGGTTATTATCTATTACTATAGTAATTTGTTTGTTGGATTGATGGATGTTAGAAAAGGGAAGAGAAGAATTTGTTCAAGATTGATTTATTATTTTTTTTTAAGACTCAAAATGGTTTTGTTTCTTAAACCAATTTTATTATATTTTATAGCAATGTCAGTACAATTCTTGGAACATCCTTGACTGAAAAATTAAGTTCCAGTGCATTTAACTTGTGCATTATAGCATAGTGTATAGCTGATGCATACTCAAAATCTAAACTACTCTTTGTAAACCACTTTGAGGATAATCCTAAAAAAACAGCAGAAAGTGAACGTGGGGATTTTTATGTCACTGGAGACAGAGGGACTATGGATGAAGATGGATATTTTCGGTTTATTGGAAGAGACGATGACATCATCATTTCTTCAGGGTCAGTTTGCATGCTTCCTTTCTAAATCTACCACTGTATAATCTTAAATGTGTTCTTGGTGAGCTTCTGACATCATAGTGCTGTGATGAATATATTGACCTCTTGAATTAGGAATACTTGCTCTTATTATTAGCTTTTCATAGACCTGCGGTATTATCTTGGTGCTGTCAGTGGCATCTCTGTATCCGTTTCCCCAGCAACTTCTCATCTGTTTCAACAAAGATTGGAGACTTCCATTGGCAGAGGAGGGATTTTAATCTGGTTTGGTTTTTGACTGAAATTGAAGGACATCTCTATTGGACTCAAAGAGCATTGAGACATTTTATTTTTAACGTGTTGAATCTTGATATTGTATGATGTGATACCATAAAGTGGCATCAGCTGGTACTGCAGACCCCAGCTATCAGGGGGAATGGAGCTCCAGCTTATGAGCCACAAGGAAAAGGGAGAGAGATGGAGAAGTATCCACTGCCCCAGCAGTCCTCTACCACATGACCACCATGAAATGCTCCTACCTTTTAACACAGCTAACTTTCCCATTCTGCCTAAAGTTTCTGTAGTTGGTTGTTGTTTTGTTTTGTGTTTGTTTTTCCTTTCTTCAATATGACAGTTAAAAATCATTTGGTACCAGTTTTCCAGCTCATAAAACCAAATCCTACATTTTTGTTTCCTTACCTAGATACCGCATTGGGCCATTTGAAGTAGAGAGTGCCCTGATAGAGCACCCAGCAGTAGCAGAAACAGCTGTTGTCAGCAGCCCAGATCCCCTCAGAGGAGAGGTAACGATGCTGAACAGTGGTGAGGGAAACAATATGTTTGTTTAAATATATAACTATATAAAGCAGTTCCTACTTTACTGAATAATGTACACCTTTTAGGCAGTCACGTCATCATGGATAATCCTACTTAAGATGACAAGCAAAATCACATCCTGTTTACATGCCTTTGCTCTTCTTAGTTTCTTTTCATCCCAAGAAGGTCTTCTCTGTGGAGAACATTACAGTGATGTTTACTTTTCCCTTGTTGTTAAGCACTTGTCCATACACTGAAATTGTCTTGTCTGGCTGTCTTCGTGTAGCCAAAGTTCTATTGTAACTGTCTAGCATTGGATTTGGGCTACATGTGTGGAGAAAGCACAGTCCTGTGCTGGGACGATATGGGCCTACTGTCCTCAGTGTGAACTTCAGAGAGAAATAAAATGTCCCTCAGCTTCAGGGACAACTCTGCAGAAACACCTCTTATTATTCCTCCTTCTTGAACCCCGCTGAGAGGATAGAGAAAATGCTCTTGCATTGTAATGATGGCAGGAAAACTGTGCTTTCAGCTTTTCCTTCCACATATACCTGTGTAGAAGCTGGGCACAACCGTTTCTTATATTGCACTGGTTTCTCTATTCCTCCCTTCTGCCTGTCATGGTTCTGAGCAGTACTGCTCACTGGTAACCTGTGGTGGTTGGTGGATGGGTGGTGTCAGCTCACTTCTGCTGACCTGATCTTACCTTACAGGTTGTGAAAGCATTTGTGGTCCTGTCCCCTACCTTTTCATCCACTGACTTGAAGAGCTTAACCTGTGACTTGCAGGAACATGTCAAGAAAACTACTGCTCCATATAAATACCCTAGAAAGGTAAATGCTTCTGAGGAGAAACTTTAAACCAGGGCACCCTTCCATAAATCTCAGGAGAATTACTGTTTGAATTTCCATAATTCACCTGAAAGAGACAGTGGTAAAGATTCAGCTAGAGCACTGGCTCCAGAAGATCTTTCCTAATGTTAGCTTACATTGTTTTTCATGTATTTGGGTAAAACGCTTGTTTAAATCTCTCAAAATTTCTAGGTTTCTTATGATTTCCTAGTGAGATCTGAGTGTTCTAAGTCAGGCTTACAGTCGTAATTCTCTATTTTGTATTTAATCTTCAACTGAGCACTCTCTTTGTGACCTTAGGGTAGTACCTGACTGAATCTGAATAAGTTTTTATCTGCTGGTCCTCACAGTTAATAAATAAAAGGGAAGTCCAGGAGGATACACTTGGTGTTTCTCAGTAATCCCAGCACTACAGGAAAAGAGCTACTAGCAGTGCTTTAATCCACCTGTGTGGAACTCATAGGAACTAAGGACCATTAAAGACTTGTCACCAATAACATCCTTTTGCTCTTCTTTTTGTCATTCGTCTCTGACCTCTCATACCATTAAGGTATTCATCCTTCTGTTAGAGTACTCAATGTTACACTGCTCAGTTTGATTAGCTGGGAGGCAGCCACACAGAAGTTTGGCCATCTAAGCAGCCAAAGAAACTGTTTCACAAGTGGCACAGCGTTCTCCCTTGATTTGGCTTGGACTTGATCCTTTAGGCAAGTGGTCCTTGCTGATGGTGATCCTCTTAGTTTTCCATGTATGTTGACAGCCAGTCTTGGAAAACCAACTCTGTAAAACATACTACCTTGTTTTCTGTCTTTTTTTTCATTTAGGTGGAATTTGTCCAAGAGCTGCCAAAGACAGTCACTGGGAAGATCAAGAGGAACGAATTAAGAAACAAAGAGTGGGGACGGATGTAGCTTTACTTGAAATTTAACAGAGCTTCTTTCATTCCATTAATGCTATATAAATCTCTTTGATATAACTGCCTTCCTTCTAATCTATTTTTGTTAAATGCCTGAGCATCAAAAACTGTAGAGAACAGCAAGAGGTGATGTTTGCACCAGCTTGCCAAGCTTCTAATGTTGCTGAAGCACTGTTGGGAAAGGGAACAAACTGTACAACTCCACTGTAGTTCTCAATGTCCACGAGCCCACCAGAATTTGGCTGGTAACCCATCTCTTTTAGATAGTGTCCAACATCAGTGAAGAGATATTGTTGGTATCGGTTGTCTAGCTCCAAGCTGCAGAAAAGGCAGGCATGGATTTGAGTGGTTCAAGTGCCCTCTTCTTAAATACAGCATGTTTAAACTAAAGCAGCCCACCTGGCATTTACTGAAGATGGAAAGACGCCTCTTTATTGATCCCACCATATGACCTTCATAAGCCTTTCTTGTTTAATACATGCATTGATGACAAGCAGCACCAGCTTCTTTCATGCTTTTTCCTCTAATACCCTCTCATACAGTAGTTTCATTGCTTGCCCTCTGTTCTGATCTTTGCACGCAATAGACAAAACTCCTCTACCACTTCTGGTGGTCTTTAAAATGAAGTTTGCTGCTGGGCAGGTGACCCAATTTGTAGAACAGACCATGGTTCTTTGCCGCAGTATGTGCTTGCTACAGAACCAGTCTATTTCTGCAGCCGTTTGCAGGTGAATCCAGTGAAAAAACTCCCTTGATCTTGTTTGGATGATCACGTCTCTGTTTAACATTTAGCTCTTAGCTTTATGGAGAAGCATGTACTGTAGTGTACACACCCTTACTTCTTACAGTTGCACATGCAATAGTGGGCAAAACTTACTTTAAGGTTATATTAGTTCTTAGCTGTTTGTCCTCAGGGTTTTTTTTAAATTTTCTGTACTCAAAGAAGATTTCATTTTCTGGCATGAATTTTCATTAATTGACAAAAGCATTCCCAGCCTTCGAGTCCTCTTCTGTTCATTAAATAAGAAGAAATTGCTGGAGAACAATAGCATCTTTAGGCAGGAAAGAAGGTCTTTTATGGCTGTGTCTCACTGCCTGGAGTTCTGTGTCTACTGTAAAGTACTGTGCAGCTGTAAAGTAAGATTTGGGGAATTCCAATTTTGAGAAAGTGAAATATTTTCTTTCTTGAGAGTAAACACTTTGTTTATGTCAGTGAAACAATTTCTGTTCTAGCAACTGCTGAAATGAAAGCAATTGTCAATAAATACATTTACTTCATTCTTTTTTGACAGTGGCTTCATTTTTTGTAATGCTCCTTAGTATTTCATAGAGATTTCGGAACACTTTTCACGACTAAGGTTTCTAGGAGCATTAGATTACATGATTATCAAACTAATCATTAGTTTCTTGAATGCACTTGTTTGGGCATGTCATTTGTCACTTTCTCAAGTTCTTTTTCTATTACACAGCTTAGTTTCCTTTAAAAGCCACGTACTCCTGGACCTTTTAGGGACTTTACGTCTTCTAGATCTTTCTGCTTGGTTTCAAATAAACAAGTGTTTAAAAACAACGAGAAGTGGACAAAACAACAAAAAGTCTGCAAAAAGTAGAATGATAAACAAGTGTACAAACTGGAGTTCAGAGCCCCTGGAAACTCTCCTTGTCTCTGCAGTTGGCTGTTTGGGCAGTTAAACTTCAGTAATGTGTGAGGATTGGGAGGTTGATGGGTTTTTTCCCTCACCAAATTTAAGGATCTAAAATCAAGCAACTAAATTCAGAGCCTAAAAAGGTTCAGACCCAAAAAAAAATAAAAAAGGTCTCAAATGAAACAACCACACTGAAGACAAGAGTTTTACCACTGATTTCAGTGGGGTCATGACCCTTAGCGCTCTAAATTCTAGTGTGACCATTACAATAATTTGCTCTGTCACCTACAGTGATCCCTTGCTTCGCTGACCTTAGAAACTGGGATTCTGTTGTGCTCTAGTACCCATTTTTTTGCATGAATGGGCTAGAATCAAAGTCAAGCAGACTGCCAGGATATTTTTGCCATGTGCTGTGGCTGTAGTCTGTGAGGTGCTCTGCTCCATGCTGCAGTAACCTCTTATCCTTGGTACTCAACTTTTCTGTCTCATGTTCAAGGAAGATGGTTTAATTCTCCTCCTCTGCTCAGGATCAGAGAATCACCAGTACCTTTCCTCTGATGCATGCAGAACAATTTCAGAGACACAGGCTTGCAGCTACAAACAGTTGAAAGCAAAATACATTTGTCTAGCACATGACTTGTTTTTGGAGTCACAAAGCGTGAAACTTTACTGATTGTATCATTCTGGCTGAAAAATATAATTTTCAATAGACTGGCCTTCCCCTTTGAGACCTCCTCTCCATCCCTTTTACAGCCCAGCTTCAATTTGATGTTAATCCTGGAGACAATAGAAAAGGTAATACCTGCATCAGAAATGGTCTTCTGTATCAAATATATTTTGATACGTTATTTCCAGAGAGTTTAGCCTCTCATCCAAAGCCTATGGAAGGGACATGGTGACTTAGGTACATATGGTCTCTACAGGGACTACAGAAGTGCAACATTATGATGAGGTTGCCAAACAACCTCACCCAGGTGTTAATGCTGCTGGTGCCTCTGCACATTCTGCCTGATGTCTGCAAAGACAGCGCTGTTGTCCCTTGTGTCAGGATAACAAGGGAGCAGAAATGGATCATAAGGAGAAAGTTGTTTTGTTCTTGAGACGCTCTGATCTTCAGCCCCATGCTTCAGAAGATAATTAGCCCTTTTCTCTGGTGTTTTATGTGTTTAGAATGGGCAACACAGCTGTTCTAAGGACAGCAAACAAGGCAACTGATTATAGTTCTTTTACAGGACTTGTTTCTTTCTTTTGGAGTTTTATAACCGAGAGAGAAATCTTCAGTTTCAGCTGGGGACAGGGAACTTGCTTCTTCTTCAGTGTTTTCCCCTTAGTGGTCATATAACTTTTTTCTGAATTGGCATAGTGGCAGCACAAGTCCTGCAAATGCATTGCTACAGATGGGGATGAGCAGTTCTATTGCAGCAAGATTCAAAATCCACATTTTTGGTGGTAGGATGAGAACAATGTGTAGGTGCCCCCTTCTTTTGAAATCATGTCTCTTGTCTTCCAGCCACTAGCCAGGTTGGAAGTATTGGTAAGTTTTTAAACTGTGAGGCATGTTATTATGCATACTATAAGACTATTAAATTGGGCAAGCAACATGTGTTTATACTGAAGACTATCTTGAAATAGGTATGAACATAAGACCCCATCTTTTGCTTTAAGAACCCCTCTAAGGTAAATGAAATGAGAACTGAGATTATATTCAGTATGTGAGAAATAATCCTTTCATATATGATGCTGTCAGAAACTAGCAAGTTGTAGAAAATCATAGGACATGCTTTATGTTGCATGTATACATAAATATTTGGGGTGTGTGTGTTTGTATGTATCATGTGTAAGTATTTTGGCACATAAGGTTCCTCTGCTTGCATTAATAAGAAAGTTAATATTTAGTTTTATGTCTTGAAATCCTTAGTACATTTCCAGAATGCGTTTGGAACTTGGTCTTGCAGATTTACTGGGTGGTGATTTTTGTAACTTTGCATGTGTCATTTTAGCCAGTCCATTGAGCAGGAGCCTTTTATAAGTGATCTACAACTTCATCTCCTTTCCCACAATGCAAAAAGTTTGAAAAAAAGCTGTAATGAAAAACAGTCTGAAATAAGATAAGGTCATGACGGGACTGTTCTCTGTTTAGCAGTGTATCACTTAACTACTCATGAGCGAGCTTTCTTTCGTTTTAGGTAATAGATGAAAATGGTAACATTCTGCCTCCAGGAGAAGAAGGCAACCTTGCCGTCCAGATCAAACCAGCAAGGCCTTACTGTCTTTATGCTGGATATGTGGCGAATATTTTCAGTTCACTCGTGACTTTTGAAGTGCCTCCCTCCAACTATGTTTGCTTAGCTTACAGAAACCTGAGTTTTTCACTCAGCTCTGAAGGCATCATAACTGCTCTTAGACGCACTGGGTTTGGTTTACCACTGAACCAAAGATTTCAGAATTATTTGCCCAGCTCTGCTTTTAATACAAAACTCTTATTTCCTCTTTAGGTATCGCACTGAAGTAGAGAGGCAGCGCCCTGATAGAGCATCCAGCAGGAGCTGAAACCGCTGCTGTAGGCAGCCCAGACCCCACTGGAGGAGAGGTAAGGACATTGATACTAGGAGCTACCTAAAATATCTAGTATATGTGTATATTGAGAAATAGCTGTGCTTGTGAGGGAAACCTTGGCTTGTATTAACGCTCTAAAGATGCAGACCATTTTCAAATACATTTGAGGACATGAAGAGGCATCTAACTTTCTTTTGATTTCAGAAAAAATTGGGGCACTTAGGCCAATTTGAAACTCTGACATGGCTTCTCTGAGTCCCAAGGAGGTCCTATACCTTGAAGCAATGTCCCCTGGCTATTCTTCTTAGGAAGGCCATTCAGCAAATGTGGCCCACCTGTGTCACTTCTCTTCTTGCACACTGTGAGGACACAATGTGGCTGCCCAGACACCAGTGAAGAATTCCGGTCTGCTGGGAAAGCCACTGTGCTCACTAGGAGTAGCTTTAAGACCTGTTTGTGGAACTCAACAAGCAATAAAAACCAGAAAGTTGTCCAGCATCTGGCTCAGAAACTTTTATTTCCACTGGCTTGAAAGAAATTTGATTGTAGAAAATTGCGTTATTCATCTTAGTCTTTCTATTGAACATTAGTCATCAAGTTAGTGATTGCTGAGTGTTGCCTTACTCCAGCTTTCTCCTTCAGGTAGTAAAAGCTTTTATTGTTCTGTCTCCTGAATTTACGTCTCATGATTCTGAAAAATTAATTCTTCAGCTGCTAAAGCATATGGAAAAAAGTTACTGCACCTTACAAATACCCACGAAAGGCAAGTATCGCTGAGTTCTGAATATATAAGTAGTTCCTGGCAATGCACCCTAAAATTAAAGCTCCTCTAACCAAACCTAATAATCATATTAGAAATGCAATCAGGTTATATTTTGAAATAGTAGAATTTTGGGGTTTTTTTCTCTTTGAACTCCTTTTAATAAGGTTTTGAAATGTAACACTGAGAATCTGACCCCATCCTAACTATGTAAGTAAACACTGCCTAACTGAACGTCATAGGCCTCTCCTGATAGGTTCTGATGTTGTCTTCTTACATTGGAACTACAGATGAACCTATATTAGATTTCACTGTGATTATGTACAGGGAAATGAAATGTTCCTTCACCTAATCAAATTGTGTCTACGAGCATAAATTTATCCTAATTATTTTAAACAAAAGAATCAGATTTTACAAATTAAATACAGTTATATAATATCAAATGTATTTCTAGACATTTTGAAATACTAACTGAACAGAGAAAGATAATGCTTGGATGTTACAATAACAGGGTTTTGAATACTATGATGTAGGCAAAGGCCTCAGCTGGCACTGCTCAATAGCCTGTTAAGTTTCTCGGCAGAGTTATCACAGTTTGCACTGATCACAGAGTATCAGGCTCAAAGGGTACTGCAGGTTTGCGGGGAATCTCAGCATGGTTTTCACATCTCATTACTGGTGGCAGTGGGCTGTGCAGAGGTAAACAGTACCAGAGCCTTTCCAGGTGAGGCAGGAATTAAACTCCACCAGCAGAGTATGTAGAATGGTTGAAAAGAACCACAGGGCATCCACATGCAGAGTTAAACATGAATAGTTCATCAGGAGGAGCAGGAAAAGCCCCACCTGGCTAAGCAATGATGCACCAGCTCCCACCAGAAGTCACCAAAAAAGACTTCACTGCCTGTCTTTGGCTTCCCTCAGTTTCTGCCCAACGTTCCAACAGCATTGATGCAGGGTTTTAAATTTATCTTCTTTCCCTGTATGACATCTTTGTTCTGGAAGATTAATTTTTCTGTCCTTGATTCAATCAGAACAGAGGGAAAACATGACGGATATTTTAAATGTAATCCCATTTTTTGAGTGGAATAACTAGAAATAGCGTTAGATTTTTAAGTGCAATCATAAAAACATGTTTGAAAATGTAATCTGGTCACAATTTCAGAATCTGATTCTTTTTAAGCGCATTCAGATTTCAAATAGGAGTAAGTATTTTTTGGCAAAGTAATCTGCTTTGTAGTAATCAGATTGCTCATGTAATCCTTTTATTCTATGCAAGTAACAAGTTTTTTAACAT